TATTATTATTATTATTATTATTATTATTATTATTATTATTATTATTAAGGTAATAATAATAATAATTTAATTATTTTTATTAATTATTATTATTTAATAATAATAATAATAATAATAATAAATGGAAACAATACAGCATTTCTGTGTATTACTGAAAGAACCAAAAAAACATACTGTATGTCAAAATACAAATGGTGAATGGCGTATTTAAAGACTGTCGTAAAAAAAATCATCATCAAAACAACCAAAACTATTTCAAACGTACTGTAAGTGAAGACAAAGATGCAAAACTTGGATATAAACCAAAAAATTTTAAGCTTAAGCACAATCACTCTGAACTGCCCAATTTGCAGTCAAGTTATGTTTTTGAAGAAAATCGTATTAACCTTTCGTCTTTTGCTATAATTTTTGCTTTTTAGAGCATCAAGGTGTCTTGGCAGCCGCCCCCCCGCAGCACCCAAAACGGCCTCATCACAGCCTACAAGATCAGATACAGGAAGACCGGTCGCCGCGGAGACCAGGAGGCCATCGAACCCAACAACTTCTGGTACCTGTTCACAGGTAAACCTGATTTAGTCAGTCAAGATTTTGACTTCATTCATATTTTATTTAAAGAGACATTCTCATGAGACATTACTAGAATAGGGAGATATTGTTGGGAAACATTTAGATTGGGGGAATATCCATCCATCGTAACCTTTTATTCCCTAATGGGGTCACAGTGGGACTGGAACCTATCCCAGTAGCCAATGGGAAAAGGCGGGGTCACCCTGGACGGTCCCCAGTCCATCACAGGGATACACAGAGACACACAAGGACCAACAACCACACACACTCACACTAAGGGCAGTTTGGAATGTCCAACAACCTAACATGCAGGTTTTTGGAGGGTGGGAGGAAGCCGGAGAACCCGGAGAGAACCCACAGACACAGGAGAACATGCAGACTCCACCCAGAAAGGTCCTGGTTCCCCCGGGGACTGGAACTCAGAACCCGGGGATTCGAACCCAGAACCTGGGGACTCGAACCTAGAACCCTCGGGCTAAAAAGCGATGGTGCTAACCACCACACCACCGTGCTGCTAGATTGGTGGGATAGTATAAAGTATTAAATCTTTATTATGAAGGGATAAAAAAAAATTTGTTTTTTAAATCCACCTCATTAGTTCCATTCAGTGTTTCCTAGGAATTGTGACTCAGAGAACTGATAGATTATCACCACACTCTTCCTCATTGTTACAGTCATAGTGTTTGTTTAGACTGAGTCACACACACACACATGCACAACACACAAACCTTGACAAGATGTTACAATCTGTCTCTGTGTTGCCAGACTGTGATTTCTATGTGGGGATTTTTCCGGAAAACACAATAGAATGTTTCCGCTCAGCACGACAAGAGACGACTGACATACTCTTCCAAATCCAGACAAAGAAAAAATCCAAATCCTCAAGATATGTTTGTGTGTGTTGTACTGTGTGTGTGTGTGTCTGTGTGTGTGTGGAAGCATGATTGTCTGCGCGTGTGGGTGGATGACACAGTGGAATTGTGCCTGCTTTTTAATACCTTGTATCATGTTTTCTTTTTCTTTTTTTTTTATTATTATCCTTCCGTGAATGGAGATCAGCATTTGCATAACACATCTGCATGTGTGTGTGTGTGTGGTTTTGTGTCTCCGTGTCTGCGTTCAAACTGCCACCAGCTATTATTTCAATTTGAGGTTTGCGGGATTTGAATGAAAGTGATCTCACTTTTCATTATATCCCAGCGATGGTTATCTTCATCTGTCTGTCTGCGCTGGCATTCATTCCCCGGTGGCAAGTTGCTGTTTGCGTGTGTGTGTGTGTGGAATCTAATGTGTCTGCCGTGGGTATTGTTGTCTGTCGGAACCGTGTTTTTATCAAATTTTAATGGGTAACGTTGTTTTTAATGCAGCTATGCAGAAACGCAGAAGAAAAAAACCTTCTAAACGTTCTATTTCTGACACTCCTTTAACAGGCTGCTGTTGTGGCTGTGATAAATCTCTAAGAAACAACAAGTTACGGAAGGTTTTTGCTAGACCAGAACCTGGATAAGGCCTCTTCTGACCAAAATCTAAAGGCAAAACTAGAAATTTCCGAGTCGCAGATCAGGAAAAGCACACTCTGACGTACAACCCCTTTGTTTGCCTGTAACATTATGGATCCGTATGGATCTGTACCATGAAAATATGTGCTGTTATACTACCGGACACCAGATTTAAAGAGCAACACTGATTTAATCTGTCACATTACCTCATTGGCTGCCAAAGACGTCTATAGACGTCTTTTATGTTTTTCAACGAGAGTGGCTGGGGGACGATCTGCTAAAGCTTGTCCGTAAATATCGGCTTCTAGACAGAGTATGTAGTAACAAATTTACCCTCTAGGGGGCAGTGCCTCTTTTGATGGGAGATGAGCATAGACTGTAGGCAAATAAGAAAAACGTACGGTTCGATATGAGAGAACATGTCGCCGGTGAGACGCAAGTCCAGGAAGAACGGAATAAGGTAGAAACAAATATTTTTTTCCTGGCTTTGTTTGGCTTTTGTCTTTGATTGTTTGGGTTCGTGTTGGTTTTTACGCAGCAGCACAAAGATGCCAATTCACGCAACGTGTTTAGTGGTTGGATAAAAGCAACAACAAAACTCCTTTGAAAGCAGTCTTTTTGCTTCTTTCTATTGTAAGAGTACATTTATTTAGAATTGATGCGATTTCACAACGGTTTTCTTGAACATAGTACTCCTAGAATAGTACAGATTTATCAGTTTTTAAGAGGCAATGGGACAAAATACCGAATCTGTGTGCCAATTTAGTCATTGAATCAGTTCTTTGTTGTAACAAGGGTCTTTTGTCATGTTCATTTTGTGTCAGTTATCTTTTAAAAATGCATGTTTTCCAGGTTCAATGTTTTTTCGATACAAGAAGGATGTAATTTTCAGATGAAATATGAAGGTCTTAACCTCCTGTTTTGCAGGTTTGGAGAAGGGCAGTCAGTACAGTTTCCAGGTGGCAGCCATGACGGTGAACGGAACGGGCCCGGCCAGTGACTGGTTCAGTGCCGAGACGCCGGAAAACGACCTGGACGGTAGGTGTTCCCGTCTGTGTACGTATCTATGTAAGCTGTAATCTGTACAACCCGCTCTCCCTCCACTACTACAGCAAACATATTTAATATTTAAGCAGCAAAGGGCTCGGGCTGCCGGTGGAGCAAAGGTTTCGTCTCAAGGGAAGAGGGAAAATGTGATAGGGGGATAGAGGCTGTTTACGGTGACTGGAGAACGAGTAGAGAGAAAAGACAATGCATTTGACAAAACATTATCCTGGTAAAAGATTACAGGAAACAGAGGCAAGAACTGAAGCCAAGCATACCTTCTACTCACATGGTATATTTATGAGATCACAGACAGACAAATCCTCCATTACGATGGGTTTTTTTATACGTCTGGTTCTGCAAATGCATAAATCTTTGCTTCAGGCACCATGTTGACAAAAGAAATGAGACTCCCACCACCACCAATAGTGTCTGCTGTTCAAATAAGACTGGATAAGGAAAAAAAAGACGGGAGATGCAGTTTAGTGAACCAAAATACGTAAGCGATGACCAAGCAGATGAATAAAAAATGTACATTATGTTAGCGTCTGAGTCGTGTATCCAGTTAAGTAGACAGGCAGACGTTCCACGAACACATGCGGCTACTGATAGCGTTAATAATTCTTTTAAGAATAATTAAAAAGCCGACCTCAGGCTGAAGCCCGGGACCACAATGTTCCGTCCAGCAGGAAGCTCCTCAGATAAAGGCGGCAAACACATCCATGCTAACTGTATTTGTTGGCCAGGACAGAGAGGGACGTAAATCTCATTTCAATGGATTATCACTCAATAAAATGGAACGAAGCGTTCCCCCTCGAGGATTGAGAGCAAACTAATCTGATCTAATCTGATGTTGAGGAATAATACAAAGTGTCAGTTCTTGTAAGTCCTTATTACACCGCTAAACGGGTTAGCGTTTTCTAGCAACCGCTGCTCTGAATGCCTGATTCGGTGGACTAAAGCGGGATCAGGTTTCAGCTGTGGGTGGGGAGCGACTTCGGGATGTCAGAGTCATAAGATCTTAATCTGCTGGATTTTCTTCTGCGTGGTAATGGTTCGCTTTTGTTTGTTTTTTTTTCCCACAGAGAGCCAAGTGCCCGACCAGCCCAGCTCCCTGCACGTCCGGCCGCTCCCCAACAGCATCATCATGTCCTGGACCCCCCCGCTCAGCCCCAGCATCCTGGTGCGGGGTTACATCATCGGCTACGGAGTGGGGAGCCCCTACGCCGAGACCGTCCGGGTGGACAGCAAACAGAGATACTACTCCATAGAAAACTTAGGTAAAGCGGCAAAGACGGGGTGGGCTCGTACTGGTCAACTCTAGCTTGTTTTAAAGTAAACTGTCTAACATTTCCAGTGCTTTCTGATTCCTGTAGGATCACAAGTGTTTGATCTTTTAGTTACATTCATTTAATTTTGGGCCACACAGTACATATATATATATATATATATATATATATATATATATATAAAATAAGTTTCCTCTGTCCAGAGGAATGGACACGTCCTTTTGATGGTTCACATAACACACATAAGACTTTAGACTTAGACTTAGACAGTACTTTATTGATCCCTTGGGAAGACTCCCTCAGGAAATTAAGGTTACCAGCAGTTTACAGTGCAAAAAAAGTATTAAGTTAAATTAAATGAAATTAAGCAACAAAAAAAAAAAAAAATAAAAAAAATAAAGTTTAAGTAACATTTTTTAAAATAAGAGTTGTGTGTATGTAATATATCTTCCCCCTAGAATTATTTTCAAGTGTCCTTTGTGATATTTGCCCTATGCTGGTGTTTTATAAAGATTTTAAAGCTTAATTAATGTGGTCTTATAAAATATTCATTAATAATGGTTATTCTTGTTGTGCGTGTGAGGAATCCAGGTTAAATTCTCGACCTTTATGTTGCTGAAATTCTGAAAGATTCCTTAGATAATCCTATGTTATTCTCTAATCAGTGGATAAATGCTGAAAAGTATTCCTATTTTTCTTTTAGGTATATCAAAAGTTCATGCATTTGTTGACTAATCAAAGCCTGTCTGCACATCTGTTAATCTTCAAAAGGATGCTGCTTTTTTCCCAAATCATGATTAGAAACATGTAAAATACCATAATTATTTGTCTCCCTAATCTTCTTGTTGCAACTTTCCAAAAAGTTCAAGTAAATGCAAGAATTACTGTATTCTTTGCATTTACCTTTAACTTTCAGCATTGTCTTCTGCATTAACAGTGCAGATACATTCTTGTGAGTGTTAAAACAACCTAATTGTCATAGTTTTAGATTAGCTTAGATATTCCTGTAGCATTAGACATTTGTCAGTTAGAGAACATCTATAAAATGAAAGAAGAGCAGTCTACAAAGCGTACTATGACCTAATCGTGTGTGCCTCAGTTTTCAGTTACAAACCATCTGCCAAGTCAGAGGAAGCTTTTGGAACCATTTCATAGATCTGTGAACACTGATTTCTTTTGCCTAGGACTCATCTGTCACTAGCATAAATAATATATATGTCTGGTTTTATTAAGATGTGCACTATGTGAAAAGAAGAAAAGTGTTTTCTGAACCAACCAAAAAGAGGACTAAAAGTATTATTAACAATATCGTAAGCAGGTTCTGCCATAAACTTTTTCATCCGGATCTGAAATTGATTAAGCTTTTTAAATCCAATCTCTGCTCGTCAAAATTACATCTAACATCTCTGCCTTATTTATTATGCTCAAATCTATGAATATGAAAATACAATCTTTAGTGTAAATCACCTTCCACTCCACTCAGCACTGTTAAAAACACTCAGGGAAAAATATCAGAGTAATTCAACCTTGCGTGTTTGAAGCAGATAGAGGTTCTGAATCCAAAAAAAAGAAGAGAAATTACACAGTACCATGAAAAAGTCTGTACTGTATCAGACTGTAATGTACTTTACAATAAAGGTAAAGCCTTCAGATAGCCTATGTGAATGGAAAATTAGCCCAAAAGCCCCCAATTCTGCCCTGAAGGTTAACAGGATTGGTTCCTTGTGTCACCAACATATCAAACTTTGGTTTCCTTTGCTTTCGGCCACCTTTTTTTGTTTAGATTTGTTTTGATATTGGAGTTCATTGGTATCCATACATGTGCAGCGAACAGTGACAATAATGAGATAGAAAGTACACTTCATTTCATTTCCAAGGTTTCAGGCCTCAGAGAAGAAGATTTTTCATCTAGTTCTTGAAAGATCTTAAAAATATACAGCAGACAGAAGTCTGTGAATGTCATCCTTTATGCTGCAGGCCCAAAGATGAGTACTGGAAGTTCATTTTGAACCACATTGCATGGACTGTCCTCAGATATGAGGAAAGTAATGGCACCAGGAAAGTTAAAAGGATTGTGTCACAGTTTTTGACTGATTTCACTGCACTGTTTCCATCATCTGGCGTGTGCCTTGGTGTGGATTTGGGATGCATTAGATCCTTTCAGTGCCTTAGAAATTGAAACGTCAGGGCTGCGGTGGTCTCTGGAGCCAGACACAACCGCCATGCTAAAATTAATCCTTCTCTTTTCAGAACCAAAATAGCTGATCGTCTCTCATGAGTTTACTTATCGGCACCATCTATTTAACATGTTCACCCCCCCATAAATCCGTCTGCCTCTGCCGACAATGTGCCAATATTGACATAGCGGGCCTCTCCTCCATTAATTCATTACGGCGATGAAATCTCCATTTAATTTCGATCAATAATTTAAAAGAATTTAATAAGAAAGCTGCTTGGGGTGGAAATCTAATTGTGAGAGGTCTAAAAAAAGAGAAAAACATCATCCCTAGTGAGAGCAACAAGCAATTTGCATGCCAACGAAGACAATAACAAATTGAAAAAAAGAGAATATATTTATGCAGGGGCTGAAAATTTCCGTCTCAGGTCTCGTAATGGAGAGTTAATGAAAAATCAAATCCAGCTGTTGTGTTGCGTGCACATATGGGAGCAGGAGCACATATGTACATGGCATTTATAATTCATAGTGATCATTAATTTATGTGGGGGGGGGGGTGTCTGGGGAGCGGAGCAGCCATGTTTGTTTTACTGATGCAAGGGTTTGATGCTGCATTGACAGAACAAGCTATTTTATTCAATCAACAGCAATAAGACAGGTCGAGGACCTCCTTGATTGTGAGTTCAAATCAGGTAAGGAGTGA